TGTGGGGGTGTGTGGGGGTGGGGGTGTGTGTGTGGATGGTTGGGTGTGTTGGTGTGGGTGGGTGGGTGGAAGGGAGAGGAAGAGATAAGCGGTCAATTCAACAATTTATGACATGGTTCTGAGTGATGACTCTTTTTGTCTGCTTATTTAGAAAATGTTTTCTTCTCTTTTCCCTTCTCGTCTTATATTCTAGATAGTTGCTTTTTATGTTTGAGTGAAAGGGAAAAAGAACAGTGCACCTCTTGCTTATTTAGCGACAATTTTTTTCATTTTGTACTTTCCTTAAGAGGTTAAAGCTAACACTAATGTTAAGTTGAATCAGTATGAGATGCAGTTGTTACAGAAGATGTTTGGCTATTACTATTTTTCTTTGTCTCTCTTGCTGAGTTGAGAATGAATAAGAATTTTTTTTGTGGTGAAAATATCTTTTAAAATTATCTCAAATGGGAGATGTTGTCCATTTTAATATTTTAATCCAACTAGGGATCTCTGCCTCTGTCTGTCTGTCTGTCTGTCTGTCTGTCTGTCTGTCTGTCTGTCTGTCTGTCTCTCTCTCTCTCTCTCTCTCTCTCTCTCTCTCTCTGTCTCTCTCTGTCTCTCTCTCTCGCGAGCCGCACACATATACCATTAGCAGCCAAGGGGTTGTTTTTGCTCTGAGTCTTCCAGTTTGTGAAATATGTTACATTTACAATTCTATTTTTAGAGTCTTAGTGCTAAATGATAATCATTTTGTCTATGTCCTCATTTTGTCTCTCTCCTTCTTTAAAAAAAAAAATACAGGTTCAGTGTTCAGTACCTGGTAGAAAACCCTATTGGATTTTTTTTCTGGGAATTTTCAAGGCTTTTTGATACAGGCTCAGTCCTATTGCTGAGGGAAATGTAAATGAAGGTGACTCATCTTATTTAACCCATTGGATCCGAGCTACAAATATATTTGTAGCTGCCGGGCGCTTCCGTCCACCGAGCTATGAAAATAGTCGTATCAAAATACCAGTCCAGAAAATTGAGTCCGAACCACTTATCCAGGTTTCTATTGTATATAATAGGTCGCTTATAGTTTGTTAAAACTTTTGCAAGCCTGTTTTCATTCCTGTTTTTAGTCAAATACGAGTTAGTTTTGTTGTTTTGTCACCACAAATCGTGACAAGAAATCTTCATGGACGAGAAGACAAAAACTGCCACAAAAAACAACAGTGCCATGGCTATTTTTGTTTGTTGAAATACATAGTTTGTTTTAGGCATAAGCGGCAAAGATAGTGAAAGTAGACCTAAGATCTAGAAAAACAAGGTGTTCGGATTGAATTAAGTGCTTTGAAAACTTCGAAGAAAAGCTAGATCTAGATCTAGACCATAGATTTACTATAAGTTGCTATGGCTAAATCGAGTGCTGATGAGTCGCAGTTGGAGGAAGAATATATGTGTTCTCTGTTCTTTCCTTCATCTTTCTCTCTTATAAAATTAAAAGAACATTTTAAGTAAAATCTAAGCAAAATTTCATATTGATACCCTAAATAGTTTGGGCACAATCATGCGTGTCTAAGTTTAATGTGTCGAGACTGATTTTTCCCCAGGCTCACAGGAAGCCAGAGTGGACACAGGTGTACTACCGCGGCAACGCAGGGTGAATTGGGTTAAGCAATCTGTATTGAAAGGGCCGTTAAACTTAATGAAAGTGAACAAATAAGGCAACTTTTATGCATGCACTTTTTGCATTACTGATACAGTCAAACCTGCTCTGACGGCCACGTTTCCGAGACAATTACCTATGCAAATGACCACATTCAATGTCCTCCTATGCATTTTTTTCTACATTATAATAACATTGTCCAAGACGTCCACCTCTTTAGGAGAAACACTAAAACACTATTCTCCATGACAGTGGATGGCTATCTTGGACAATTTCGGCTGTATTTTTATAGGTGATGGTAGATGTTGATTAGTTGAACCTTAAAGACAGGTTCCTTGCATATTTCGTTCTTTTCCTTCCTGATTATTATTTTAAAATTTCTATATTATCTCTTCTGTCTGTTATCAGTAACAAGTGTCAAGTTTGCAAATGACGACAAATCCAGAGTGGCGTGCTGCTCCCTCGATGGCACTTTGTCGATCTGCCAGGTGATTCCGCCACCAGCCACTGTCATATGTATGCTGAAAGGTCACAAAAGTGGAGTTACAGGTAATGTTTTGTGCATGTGTGTAGTGTAAAGGGGGGCAGACCTGGCATAAATTTTTCAAAACTTTCCGAAAACTTTGGATGTCTGGGCAATTTCCACAGGCCATGTTTGTGACCAAGTCGGAATTTCCAGATTTTCTTCATTTAGATTTATGGCCAGAGTGAGTGGAGAAGGTAAATATAATCATTAAAAAGTTTTGCTATTTTGACATTAAACTTTTAAAGAGGACCAAATGTGATACTTAATGCTAAAGTGGTAGGTTAGTAGTTGATTTGGATTTCTGACGTGAGTTACCATGAATTAAATATTCTGATCTCCATCCATTTGCCCGTCTTTTTGTGTGTGTGCGTGTGTGTGTGTGTGTGTGTGTGTGTGTGTGTGTGTGTGTGTACGAGGAGGTGGGGGGGTCAGTTTTTTGTCTTGTGCTTTCCATTTGTCTAATATAGATGGAAGTGTACTTGTGTGTGAAAAGTTAATCCGCCAAATTAGAAGTCCTAAGCGGTAACCCTTTTAGGTGAGGAGAGAAGTTATTTGTTTGTTAGCTTTTTTTAGGTGAAAGAGTGATTTGTGAAATGATTTCATATAAGATGTTATGTTTTCTTGTGACAGATGTGGAGATGATTAATTATTTATTTATTTTTTAATTTTTTGTCAGTGGTTAGCGGGTGCTCTAGTGTGGTTTGTTGCTTCTTTGCCAACAAACATCTGTCGTCTTTTTCTCTTCTCCTCCTTTTTTGTTTGTTACTCTCTTGTAACACCTCTAATCTTCTGCACTTAAATGACCATGCTGTGTTGAAAGTGCTGCAAAACTTTTACTGAAACATACAAATGATTGTTTTTCTTACTTTTCTTTCAGATTTCGTCTGGTCCTTGTCAAATGATGTGATACTGTCTGTGTCGCTGGATGGCACTGCCAGGCTGTGGGATGTGGCAGCTGGATCCTGTATGCGAGTCATTGAGGACAGCATCGGCTCAGAGCTACTCTGTTGTGTGTTCCAACCCTTGAACAATAACATGTTTGTAGTATCCTTTGTGTGGATCAGTTTTGCTGGTGTGGTTCTATCAGTTTTAGAGAAAATGCTCATTGTTATCAATGTGATAAAGTTCTTACTGGTAATATACTTTTTAGGCCATTTTTGTTTATTTTTTTCATCATTTTTGTGAGTACCTTCCACATTATCATTGTCATGCTTGTGTCATTGTAAATTTCCTGTGTTTAAATGTTTGGGAGTACTGTGATGTGTTGCTTCTTCTATCTGTCCCCGTGGTTTTATGCACCCACATAATTTAGCAAAATTTTATCATTTTTGGCATAATTTCTGATTATTTTCCTTTATCATTCTTTGTTAAAATTAACAGAATGGCATAATTTCACATTTTTGGACTCAGTTTGTATAATTTCAGAATTTTACTTGAGTAAAACGACGGGGACAGTTCTACACTTTCCAGTGTTACTATTTTCACTACCTGTTCTTGGCAAAATAGTACCATAACCAGGCTGACTTGCTGTATACTATAACTCAACGATGGCATCTCAGTAGTAGTAATGCTGACTTACAACTTCAGGATAGTCTGTTCTTACTCAGCCGTCTTCTTTGGGAGTTGTTTTTGAAAGTTTTTAACTCACTTCAGACGGGTCACACAACAGTTGCGTGACCCCCGCCGCGACGCTCGCGACGGGTCTCACAAGCCCTGCGTGACCAACTTTGGAATTTTTTTTTCGCTCTACAAATCACGCACGGATCGCGAGACCCGCCTCGTACCCTTGTTTGGCCAAGCCTGAGCTACTAAGACTTCGTTTCGTATCTCTGGGGCCGGTAGTTTTTAAGTTATTGAAGGTTAAGGACAGTGACCCCAACTGGGGTTGAACAGACCGGAACTCGCGCTTTGTTAGACAACTTTAGTTTTTTGTATTAGATTAAGCTTGAATGTTACTTTACTGTGTCAAAAAATGATTACAATAGAGATTATCTGTGAAATTCTTCTGAGAGTTGTGGTGATTTATTGAAATACCCCCAAAAACGCCAGTCTTCAACGCTTGTGACTGGTGAAAGGGCCCAGTCGCAAGTGAGTTAAGGAATATAACTTGCGTAGGGTATACTAGTATGAAATATGTTCAATATCTCAGATCACCGTGCTGTGCGCAAGAACTGTGTCACGTCATGTAATCCGAAAGATTGGTCCGTGTGACTGGTATTTTATGTAATTCATATTATACTATCTGTGGGAAATAATAATAATAATAAATAGCATTTTTATAGCGCATATCCCCGCTTAACAGCAGGCTCTATGCGCTTTACACTATATTATTACCCCAGCAGACCACAGAACACTCCGAAACATTCTCAGCTTCCCGGGAAGCCTTTTTTTTTGGATAGATCCAGAAGGGACAAAGAACTCGCAAAATTAGACTAATCAGGAACATCATCTTCAGTGTCTTGGGAAAAAGACACACGAGATGTAACCCTTTTCGCCCGACTAAGTAAGTTTGCCACGAGTGGTGTCCCCTGCCAAGTTAATTTTGGGACTTGCATGCTTGTAAAAAGTAGCACTTTAGTATTATCTGTGAAATTCTTCTGTCTCTGTCTACAGCTTATCAGTTTCTTCTCTCTGAGCCATTTTCATTGTTACTCTGCATAAACCACCCGGCACTCCTCACAGGCCCAGATCTATCTCCTCTACAGTGTGTCTTTCTGGAGGTACTTATCTGGAGAAAAGATGTCTTACTTTCATACCCGTCGAAACATTCTCAGTTCCACCTATATGAGTGTCATCAGAATCAGTGCGCGAGTGGTTGGCGGGTGCTCTGGTATGGTTTGCTCCTTCTTTCCTATCAAACATCTATCGTCTTTATCTCTCCTGCTTTTTTGTGTTTGTTACTCTCTTGTAACACTTCTAATCTTCGGCACCTATATGACCTTATGGTGTTGCAAGTGCCGTAAAACTCTTAAGAATCAGCACATTTAACAGCTTCTTCACTATCATATCCATAATAAACATTTTCAACAGCATTCAGCTGTACAGGATCACTATGCAATCATTCATACGTTTTAAACTAATTGACCCACATTCAAATGAGCGTTAACTCTTTATCTCCGGCAAGCCGCTCCCAGCGGCTCACAGTCGGAACTGCTGTGCCGGTGAGCCGCTGACAGCGGCTGGGGCACATTCCTTTACGACTTTGACATCAAATTACTTTTTGGCAAAAGCTGAAAACTTAAACAGGTCTCTTTTATCCGGATTTCATCCATTAGATGAAGAACTATCGAAATTGGTTCACTTGTTTTGATTTAATGACCAATTTAGTGACGTTTTCGTAGTTTTAAAAATTTGGTACCAAAAAGGGGCCTCAGCATAGTGGGTTTACCCCCCATGGAGATAAAGACTTAAATTGGTGTAAATTGAGTGTTATGAGTAGATGGTTAGTGAGGTGCTCTGGTGTAGTTTGCTCCTTCTTTCTTATCAAACATCTGTTGTCCTTATCTCTCCTTTTGTGTTTGTGATTATTATTCTGTTGTAACATCTCTGGTCCCCTGCACTTATATGACTTTATTGTGTTGCAAGTGCTGTAAAATTGTTACTAAAACAAACACTTAGACTTAGTGTTATGATTGCTTTCCCCCGCTTCTTTTAGCAGCAGGAAACACTGTGATAAAATGTAACAGTTGTGGTATTTTTTAGAGGTATCACTTTGAATGGGGAATCCCCATGTGCGGGCAGCCTGGGATGAATTGTTAGCATGCGGAAAACCCAGTGCATGGTACGAAAAGTGTTGAAAAATTTTATAATTTTCATTTTTAAAAAGTATGATTAAGAATGAATTTAGTCACACCAGGATGAGAATCTTCATTTTTGTAATTCTAAAATGTGTTATAATTTGCTTTACAATGCACCACGTAATAACCATGAAGAACCAAACGAGATAGTCCTTGTTTATTATATTTTGTTAGAGTACTACATTGTTGGTGAATGACGTGCAGTGTCCTTGCTGCTATATTAAAATAGATACCATTTCAAGATTTGCCTCTTTCTCTCTCTCTTGTGATCATTTTTATATGTTTTGATGTCTTTCTTTGACAAAAGTTAAATGAATTCATGTGTGGCTTGATTTTTAAAGCTGTTATTGCAAAAAAAATGTAAATTTTAGCTGACGCCTGTTAGTATGATATACATTTTATAATTGATATTAAGAGATTTTGATCCCATTGTAATATACCTTGTCGCATTGTGTTGTTGTGCTTCCTTGATTTTGATCATACCGGAAACAGTCGCAGTCAAGTTCAAGTTATGAACATGTCAACTGGAAAAGGCTACAAAGTAGGTATCTGGTTTCATTCAGTGTACTCTCCTGTCTCTTTTTGTCCCTTACCAAGAATTATTTAATCTCTGATGATATTCAAAGTAGTTGACTACATTTTCCTGCTTAAAGCCCATCAACTTTTAATTTGTGTAATTTTTCTCTTTGTGTCCACTTAACTCTCTGCTTGGTCCTAAAATATTTTGAAGTTACTTGCTTTGTTTTTTGTCTAGCATTTTCCTGGGGATTTTTTATCATTGTGCTACAGCAGTACTACAGGTATCTATTACATGACAATTGTAGAGATCAAAAGTTATGGAAATAAAGACAGTAGGGAGATGTAGATCAGCTGATGGGCTTTAAGCAGGAAAATGTAGATCAGCTAATGGATTTTGTATGGTTTCTGTGAAAAGAGAAAAATCATAGGCATTGTTAGGGGAGAAAATGAAACCATGGGGTAGCAAAGGAAAAAGTATGTAAATTTGGCCTCTGCCTTGTTAGAACCTCTTGGATTTATTTTCCTTTAATTGCCTGTGGTTGATGTTAAAACTTAAAAAAGAAAAAATGTGCTTTTGCCCTTTTTCCTGGCTTTGAGTGTCAATGTACGGTAGTCATGGATGTTTTACTACTCATTACCAGGGTGGCAGCAGTAAAGTAACGGGCCGTGTTCATGCGTTGACTTTTGATGCAAGTGGAAGAATTCTGTGGGCTGGAGACGAGAGAGGATCAGTCTATTCCTTCACTGTGGATGTTGCAACAGGGAAACTCACAAAGACCAGGCGGTAAGTGTCTAGCACAATTAAATTTAAAAAAAAAAAATTTATTTTCCGTTCATAGTGCCTTGAGTTTATTGAAGAGCAGTAATACGGAGCTCAGAAGAAGAAACTCATAAACTTTCTTCAAGGTAGTTATGATGATATACTTATGATTATACTTATTAAGATGATAATGATGGTGGTACTGGTACTAATGAAAATGTAGTTTTTGTGGTACAGGCTGTTATTTCTTTTTCAGAATGTTTATTATGAAAAAAGTGTGTGGGATAAGTTTTTTCCTATATTATATTGTTTCTCCAGGATGACTGTATCAGAGGGTCATCCAATCACAAGTTTATCTGCGCGAGCATGGATCAGTCGAGAAGCGAGGGACCCTTGCTTACTGGTCAACTGCTGTGTCAATTCTCTGTGTTTATTTAGGTATGCATTTAAAGAATCTTACTTTTATTAACCTCAGAGTCCTAGCGCATGCTTCATCTTCCACCACATTTGTTCTTCAGCACACTGAATACATGTTTCAGAGTGAAGTGTAAGACTAGAAGTTTTCTGTCAGGAGTTCAGGTGCGCATGTCTCAAAGGATCGGGGGCTCAAGCTCAAAGGGTGAAAGAACTGTTTTCCTGAACGACAGTAGCAATGTGACCCTTGATTTCCTCTTTCCGTCTTAGACCCAGGCTTTTTAACCAGTTGATATCATGCTGAAATACAATGTAGATAAACGCGGTTCAAATACCCAAAATGGGACATTCTTTGTCTGGGATCTTTTCAAGGTTGTTTTCCCATTTACATCCTGTAAAATAGAAGTAAATAGAATGTTTCGGTGAAGTTTTATAAACTTTGTCCAAAAAGAAACAAATTTGCTTTCTGAATGTTTTTCAAAAGAGGTCACATTTTCAGTATTGGCCTTTTTCAGGTTGTGTGAAATTGTAAGGTACTCTTTCTTTTTCCTTGCATTTGCAGATTGCTCCATTTGAGCCCCTATGTTGGATTTCGTCTTGGATTAAGATTTGATGAGATTCTTAGTCAAAGATGTCTTGATTAATGGAATAATAAGCAGAAAGATTTTGTGTGGTCAGAATCTTCTGGTGTAGTAGATTTATTTTAGTTTGTTTTGGCAAAGACAGGTTTTGTGTGTTGTTTGTTGGTGGTAAAGGTCTCTCTCTGTATCTACTTGAGTTATGGTATACTGATGGAATAAATCTTAGTAACTTAATGAGGTAAGCATGGAATACATTTATCAAAGAACAACTGAAGGTTATTTGGTAGAGACTGTAATATAGAGAAAAAGGGGTGTAAACAGAAAAAAATGTTAATCCTTTGTGTCTATGTCCTATGGGTGTTTATGGAAAAAGAAAGCATTTTAGCTTTTAGTTGATGTATTTATATATTCTCTACTTATTTGTACTTTTTAAAACCCTTCCTTCCATCTCTCCCCAACTTACCTTTCTTTCTGCAGACAAAGTGCATGTGTTCATGTACTCTAATAGAAATATAATGCTTTATATTTAGGCAGACTGCAGATAGTAATGAGATTTTTCACATATGTAACACTTGCAGAGAGATTTGAAGATAAAAATCCTCCAAAAACTTCAATTTCTAAAGTGATCATTTCATATTTCAGGATTGTCTCTGAAGATGGAGCATTGCAATTGAGAAAGTCTTTTCCTATTAAGCAGAGGACTTCATTTGTCAAGAGCACATTCTGCCCTCTCATGTCTTTTAGACAAGGGGCTTGTGTCAGTAAGTATGAGATTTTGTTGATATGTTTTGAGTTGTATGCTCCTTTCAACACAATGTAGCTTATGATGTACAGTGGTCTCCTGCTTTTGGCATGTTTGGTGTGTTCGCCTGATCGTGGGCTTTCTTCCAGTTTACCAGCTTGAAATTACTGGCATTAAAAGGGCATGAGAAAAAAAGTTTTCTTGAAGTATCGAAAGCATCATTCAAGAAAAGGTTTTCAGACAAGCAAGAAAAATTTGTATTATATTTAGATTGAATTCTAAAACACTATTTCTATTTACATGAATTATTAACCCTCATCCTGTGGGAGCCGGGTTTATGTAGCCCGATAAGCCTATTTCGGCACCTCGCCTGCGTTCTGGTCCCGAGTCAGTGTAGCTCCTGGCTCAGCGCACGCGCAGCCTCTTACGTGTCATTCGGGTCCCGAGTCGGATCCCCATTCACGCAGGTCAAGTGTGTGTGCGTCAGTCTGCTTGAGTTTGTGTGCGTTTGTGGCCTTCTTCTAGGACCACCTGCGTTGGTTCGTAATCGAGGCATACGTCTCATTCAAAACATGCCAAGTTGATAGCTCTAGATGTTTGTCCAATGAAATTATAGCAGAAATTGACCCACTTAGACATGAGGAGCTCGAAAGGATAGTCGGGAGACAAGACTTCCATTTTTCTATACAAAATATTTCAAATGAGCTTGATTTTGCATGAAATGATACTACCTGATAAAAAATGAGCTTGTTTGATAGTTTTGAATACCCTTGTGCAGGTTCAAAGAACAATTTGAGTGTAAAACATTCGGAAATTGACCTAAATTATCCCCTTTCGAACCTCAGGTCATTCATAACAACAAGAGCGTCCAGAAAATTATAAGTGAAATAGAAGAGTATGAAATGATATGAGAGGTCTTTCTGAGATGCATGTCTTGGATTCCGAGTCTAGATCTAGATCTAGATCTAGACCTCGTATACATTTCTTCAACTCACGAAGTTTCTGCCACTGACAAAGAGGTAATCCACACAAAAGAAATACAACACATTCACAGAGATTGAAGCCTCTGGTGGAAACTTGAAAGTACCTAAAAGACTTTTCTTTGGGTGTTTTTATTTTGTTTTGCCGTACTCATATTGGGCAGCTTTGCGCCCATGCATCCTAGAGACATGATGGCGTGTATTCAACTAAAATCTCCTCCGACTTTTGTTCCCGTTCAAAAAGTGACTCTTTGTGCTAGCGAAACAAGAAAAACACCATAGTAAACCGGAACTCTTCCTCTATAAAGATAGCTAAGTGAAACTTCTGATGATAGTAAAAGTAGAAGCCTCTCGTGGCAACGAAACAAACACCCCCGTGGCGGGCGCATTCGGGCGCTATGGGGATGAGCGGGGGTCACCGGCGCGGGCGAATACGGGCGCTGTAAGTGCGAAACGGTTAAAATATATTTTTTTGTGACTTACAGTTTCTAGTATTTTAGTGTGCAAGAGTGATATCAGCACAACTTTGTTTTTCTTTTTAAATGTCTTTCTTTTCGTTCAACGACACAGGTCACTGTACACTTTTGTACACATTATAAAGGCTACTTTTGAAATTACAAACAGAATTTTCTTAATTTTGCATCATTTCAGTTTCTGGCAGTGAGGACATGTGTGTGTATTTCTTCGATGTGACAAAAGAAACGAAGCCTTGTGTAAACAAATTGCTGGGTCATTCAGCCCCTGTAATGGATGTAGCCTTCAACTGTGATGAAAGTCTGCTAGCATCTTGTGATGCGAATGGGATGGTCATCATTTGGAAGAGAGAAGGAAAGCAAGGGATACTGTAATATTCATTGAAAGAGCACTTAATTAGCTTTGAGAAGTTTTCATTTGTTGCTATATCATGGAACTACTTTTCTACAATGTATCATGATAGTAATTATGGTTTAGTAATAGACTTGATGAAAAAGTGACTGTGACTTACTTCATCCTTTTTTATGCTTGGCATGTTATAGATAAAGGGACTTTTTGTCTTCATGTGAGAAATACTACTTAATCATACATTGAGAGGTGTCACTTTGAGTTAGTTCTATTTCCTGTTTTCTCAATGTTTTATTATCCTGAACTTTTTTAAAGCAATTTTTTAAACATCCTTTTCTTCATTTGATAAAACCTGTTGCATTTCAATTTAAGAATAAGTATATATGTATACTTGTTAAAGAAAAAAGCATAAGAACTTTTGATAGGGATGGAAGGTAAACTAAATGTCCCTTCAGAACTGTTTGAGATCTCTGTCTTTGCTGCTTGGTGATTTCTTTATATTGGAGCAATAATTTATTATATTAAAGTACATTTGTAAACTCTACTCTGCTCAGATTTGGTGATGAATACGCAGAGTCTCTTTCGCCCAAAGTACTTGATACTGGTACCAGTTCTATTTTTCTTAAGGGAGAACATACTGATTTTTGTTTTTGTATCAGATTATTTAATGGAAAAACCTGGGCATATATGTGCAGCTTATTTCTCTTGTTTTATTATCAATCTTCCCAATTCTAGATGCCCATTGGCAGGATTGGATGGAGTCAGATCAGATCGATTAATGGCAGCTTCAGTACACACCACGAATAGACCCCTCCCTTGTGTCAAATTTGATCAAGTTGTTAAGGGGGTGTAGCTATGGTCAACACCCAAATGCTATAGTTTTTGGTCTAAAGCTTGCTTTTCTGCATCAAAGGGGGTGACATAGTACAAAAAAGGTTACCAAGCAAAAAAAATTCAAGATTTTAGCCATAATAATCTCAAGCCATCAAAAATAAAGGATTGATTCAGCATTTTTAAAACCAATTTTATATTTTGTCAATCATCAACACTCATCAAGATAGAAGCCTAATATTTGGCATGGTGAATACTGTTGGTAGGTAGAACAACCTTACAGAGCCAAATTTGAATTTTCTGTAATAACTTGTGAGCCTTACAGTCCTTGTTATGCACCACATTCAGGTCTCCAATATTTTAAGATTTTGTTAAATAAAAAAGGCCCAAAACTCCAAATGTGTTCCATAAACAGCAAAAATGCTCCTGTAAAGTTATAGAGAAATGTGTATGAAAGATTGTGTCCAAATTTAAAACAATTCTGACAGTAACTTTCTGAGATCTATTCAATATAGTGTTGCAACCTGGTCAGATAAACAATTCTGAGAAAACTGCAAAGAGAGATAATTTTTGGTGAAGATTTTCCTACATTGCTACCTCTCTCAAATGCATTTTCCAGCTATTTCCAAGTTTGATAAAGGAATTAGGCTTCTAAAGATGGATCCTTGATATTGATATCTATTAAGATATTTCAAAATCCGAAAACTGATATTTTTTCAAAAGATTTACTGATCTGACCAGTGGATCCCCTTAAAAGATATAAAACTTTGACTGATGAGCAGTGTTATTGTACTCAAATCTTGGCGTTCACGACACAGCTATTTCCTTCAATAATGGCTTCAAGTGCTGACTGCCACATATCACAGTTGCTTTGTAGAGAGGTTTTTGAATCTCACAGACATAGGAAATGTTGATAGCTTTCTAGACCTGTCAGTGTCAGCCTCTCCAAATCTATACTGCGCAAAAAAAAAATATGACGCAGACCTTGTGACTCATAGGCAACAAGTCTTGTGATTGGCTGTTCACATCCAACAGCTGTGACCAGTTCGACTTGCAATCTTGAAAAACAAATGTGAGTGATTTTTAAGGTCACAGTCAAATTCAGTTGATTAATGCTAAAATGGTAGCTTTTGCTAGCCCAGACTGAATCAAATGAATTCGACTGGCAATGTGCACTGGGTATAAGGCCAACAGGATTGAAATATGGAATAAAGCATTTATCCAGAGACTGCACTAGTCGTATAAAATAATGAATTATTGAAGTGATATCCATGTCCTTCCTTTCCAGAGACATTTGTATTATAATAGCTATTACTGTTGACTGTGATCATTAGTACTTTGATCTGCACTTTCAATGGTCAAATAACATTCCAGTGAATTTGATGTTGTGATCCCCCCCCCCCCCCCCCCCCCCCCCGCGGTCAAGTCACGTTGCTCAGCTCATGTATTCTTCTCGTCCATTACTTTCAGCACCATTGTTTTAGAGATCTGACCTGTGACAAAATTCATAACATGTATTATACAACAATGATCGAAAGGATGTTATTTGTTCATGGAGGACTTGATGGGTCCGCCATGTGTATCAGAAGAAAGGATTGTTTGTGGCAGTGAAAAGAGGGCAAGGGACTCTTTATTTTTCATCTTCTTTTGAAACATTTTAAAGACCGTTTAGAGTTAGAGGCAGAACTTGTAGGTTGACGAGAGAACTGGGTTTCTGAATTTCCTTCTTTAGTCTTAACAGTGGGATGGATGGCTGAAAACCCCAACCAATAAAGCTTGTTTCAGCAAGGATTCCATCCCAGGATGACAACAGCACTATATCAACTGAGCTTTTGGCATGTCTGGATGATGTTTACAACATGAACAGGTGTTGCAATTTCATCTTCAGGCTTAATTTTTAACTTAATTCTTTGCGAAGTAAAAATATCTTTCCTATGCTCTTTTCAGGAATTAAATCTTCTCTTTAGTTGTAAACTCTTTCCCTTTAGCTCAAGTGGCGATCTGTAATTCCCTTTACCTACACACTGCCACTTCATGTGGCGTTCTTACTAATCACTTGTTCCCATTTTCACTTCTCATAATACTTTCCATGTTCATACTACATCCGCACATATTTCATGTTTGTCGTTTGTTCAATTTTCAATAGTTGAGGGGTCGAAAATCCATTTTTGTCCATATTTTACAGTTTCAGCTGTTTTTCGTAAACACATCTGAGAATCTAAAAATACGGTAAAACACGCAGAGCTCGAATTCGTCAGGACCAGACTGGGTAGTTCGAGGAATATCTTACGATTACGAAGATATAGAAGAAAAAAAAAACCTCGGGACTGCAGGCACAGTTCAATGGATGTGTGATTTCGAGTTTTCTGTGTTCGTAATTTCCGTGTTATGTAGTGTAGGTTATGTAGATATGGGAATACCTATCTGTGAGAAGTTAAGCTGATAGAGTGCTGGGTTTATCAATACTCTGTACCTTGGGCCAATGTCTATATATGACAGTTACTGTAGTTATTGGAAATTGTATGGGTTGAATCCAGTGCCTCTTTCAACACTGTGACATAGCTGCCAACCAGTAGGCTACATGCATAAAAAACATATTTAATACCTTTTTGAGGGTTTGAGTACAAGAGTTCATTTTTTGTGTCCGAAAAAAATTGGTTTTTCGGTTTTCAAGTAGGCCTATTGCTCCTCATTGACTCGTCAATGCTGAATAAATTATATTATGAACTTTCAAGACCGAATTATTAGAAGGAACCCTATAAATATACTCTCTACATTATAGTGGCTGCTTTGAATTCACTCAATGCAGAAAAGTATGTGTTGATCTGGGGTTTTTTTGGTTTTGAAAGGTTGGCAGCAGTGCTCGAAGGTTATTTAAGTAAGAGACAGGACTTCCTAATTTATTAGCAATCTCCGATAGGGTAGAACCAAGAGGGTGTAGTGTGTTGAATACTCACAGTACAACCAAAGTTCAGAAGTGTCCCCTAGGGTACTGATCCAGAACCACTGGCACCCTAGCTCAACTTGAAACTAACTAAGCTACAGGTAAAGGCATGCTCTGTCACAAGCCTGATGTAACTGACTTTATCAAAGCTTACCATGGTCGCTCTTTGTGCAGGAATTACAATTACCTTATAAGTAAAACAATTGTGTCCCTGCACTGTGAAATCAGGTGCTTGTCAATTTTTTGGCTTGTATGGAGTTATGGAAGTGTCAAGGGAGCCTGTTAACTGTTATCAAAGGTGAATTTAAGGAGAAAATAGCCGCCAAAGTCTGGTGACTTCCAAAGCATGAAAACTTTAAGTTTACAATTTTTTGTGCCTTTGAACAGTTTCTAGTGATGAGTGCCGGATTTCATCACGCATCCATACAATTGCTAAAGCAATACATCTTGTGACTCTGTTTAAATAAAGGAAACGCAAGACAGTATGAGGGCATCGGGACGAGATATTTGGCTTTGTATTGGGAAAGAGTTGGGCCTCAAAACCACGCAGGGCCCATGACTTTAATATGGACAATCGCACCTGTCTTAACGGAATCTCCCTACTACCCCCTTGACATATTCCTCTTTAATTACCTGTATAAAACGGAAACCTGTCCAACGCAGAAACTGAAAGAAAATTCTGCTCCCTTTGAAGGATATTATCTGTCTAAGACCGAAAATGCTTTGCCCACTCAGCCCTGATTTAGTTCCGCCGGCTCTAAACTTAACGCCGTATGCTGCCGGACGAAGAAGGGGAATAGGGGTGCAATTTGGGGGTAGAATGTTACCCCATCTATGTGAGCTCAGGGCTATGTGGGTGTGAAATCTCACGAGTGCCAGTGAAAGTGCTTGAGTAGCTAGCCATAACGGAAACTGTCTTGGGTAGCCAGAGTTGTGAAATTAGTTTGACCATTGCCTGCCGCCCTGGTGGTATATAGCCAGCTGAGAAAGTTTCTGTAATCGTTGTTACATGGCTGTGAGGGGTGGCATTGGTTGACTGTGCTTGTTGCACTGATTGGTGGGGCTAAGGGTGGAAGCAAAGGAGATGTTCAAACTTTTCTGTTTTTAAGAGACCGAACAGTGGTCCTATGAAATGCAAGCACTGGTGGTAGTTGGATAAATAAGACTGATGCATCAGAGAGGCATAGCAGTTGAGAGATGTGAAGTTTTGACCACTGCTTGCCGACCGGACAAATGACCCGTAATCCCACCAGCTCGGCCTTTGAAAAAGACCCCTCCATCTCCCCCCTAAATTCCCCTTCTAAGACGGAATTTTTTTTTCTGGCTCCCTTGCGATTCCGTCTAACACAGGTTTGACTATATTCCAACTTGATTTTGACAATTTATGATAATATTTTGTATAGTAATATTTTCTACATTTAAGAACCATTCCAATGTGCAATATACCTGATGCATATTTGTACACCTGTGCAATTGTATCACACAGTAAAATAAACACTGATAATTTGAAATACTTGATTTGTTTTTGTCAGTTTCACTGTTGGATGCAACAAACATAATTTTTTATAAAGTTGATTTTGCTGAAAAATAATTTTGGAGCTTTTGGTGTGCTTTCATGATTTCTATGCCAAGACAATTTTGAAAGTCTATTTGACGACATTCATGCCACATTCAGCACAACTGATGCTATTTAAGAGGTGGTAACTCACAACGAATGTCGACAAAATATTTTTCTTTAGTAAGAGTTTCAAAGCACTTGCAATGCAAA